AAATTTATCTTGGGGAAATGGCTCACACACTTATAGAAGCTGGCAAGTCCAAAGTTCCTGGATCAAACGTCAAGCTGGAGGCTTTTCCACATCAAGCTGGAGGCTTTTCCCAACTCTTGCAACCGCAGGGGCTGAGGAGCTCAAGGCTGTTAGGCAGTACACCAGCTGTTGACTCCAATGAATGACAAATCCAAGATTTCCAGGCTGAATGGTGGACTGTTCACTCACAGACAATTGTAGACAGCACAACAGAATCCCGATCCACAGAAGAATGTCTCTCTTCCCAGGATGTCCTTGGATATACGGGAAGCAGCCCACGCCCCTAGGGAAACTCCCTTTCAACAGATTGCCTGCTCAAAACATAATCATCTGATCCCATCATGGTAATAACCACATCACAACAGCTTAAACCACACAGAATTGTGGTCCAGCCAAGTTGACACACAGCTCCAACTATCACATACACTATTTCTAGATTTCTTACAATACCTAATGCAATGTAAATAGCACTATACTTCTCTCTTAGTTGTTAAGGGATTGCTTTGAGCACTTAATTGCTCCCCTTAATATTAAGAAGCTCTGGTGGCATAGTGGATAAGGCACTTGACTGCTAACTGGAAGGTCAGTGGTTCAAACCTGCCAGCCATTCCGAGGAGGGAAGATGGGGTGATCTACCTCTGTAAAGATTTACAGCCTCAGAAACCCAGTGGGGGTCGTTATGAGTCAGAAATGACCCTTGTATTGAACTTGGTTTGGTTTTTTGCAATGTTTTCAGTCTGCTTTTAGTTTAATCACATATATGGGACCCATAGCTATAGATAGCTGACTGTGTATCCATGCAATGGGACACTACTCAGAAACAATAACAGACTAATGATACATGCAACAGCATGGTTGGGGAACTTGCCACAAAACCTCTAGGAAAAGGGGACCATAGTTGTCAACTCATTTCCCGAACTAACAAAACCTACATTCTAAAACCCAACAAACATAAAGAAAAATATAAAAGAACAATTTCTTTTATGAACTTAGATGTAAAAATTTCAAATAATTAACAATTGAAATCCAGTCAGAAGAGTACTTAACTTTTTTTGGGTAATGCATAATGATTGAGAGGAGCATGAAGGAAGTTTCTGAATTTCTGATAGTGTGTTATACACTATCTGAATGGCGAGTGCATGGGTTTGTTCACTTTTTGAAAATGTTTTGACTGTTACAGTTTATGTACTCTTCTGAAGTATGCTGTACTTCAGGGGGAAAAAAAAAAATGTGGTGGCATAGTGCCTAAGACATTTGACTGCTAACCAGAAGGCTGGTGGTTCTTGGAAGGAAGATGGGGCAATCTACTCCCATAGCGATACTGCCTCAGAAATCCAGAGGCATCACTTGGAGTTGGAAACGACGTGAGACAGCAGTGAGTTTGGTTTTGGTTTGGTCTGCTCACCCAAATGAGCAGGATTTTACAAAATGGCAATTGCAGATAGCCCATGGATGTATCAGATGAGTGTACCAGTTAGGAATTGGTGAAATACTAATTCAAACTAGGTTCCAGTTGCCAGTGATATTGGGAAAATTCAAAATCTCTGAAAACTCTAAGCATTAGTAATGATGTGGAGCCATATTAACTCTAATCTACTGCTGATGTTGGTATAAAGTATTGCATCTACTTGTGAAAACAATTTGATAGTGCTTAGTGAAAATGCACTATGCAGTTCCATATTTTTGGTATATATATATGTATGTATAGGAGCTCTGGTAGCATAGTGCCTAAGGCATTTGACTGCTAACCAGAAGGCTGGCGGTTCAAATCCACCAGCCACTCCTCGGAAGGAAGGTTGGGCAATCCTACTTCCGTAGTGATACTGCCTCGGAAACCCAAGGAGGGGTCGCTATGAGTCGGGGCCGACTCGATGGCAAATAACAACAACAACATAACAACAACATATGTATGTATGTGTGTGTGTGTGTGTATATATCACACATACACATACATACACATACACATACACATGTACATATACCAGAACGGGTTTTGTACATGAGCACCAGAAGGCATACTCAAGAATGATTGTTGTGGCACTGTGTGTAAGAGTAGAAATCTGGAAACAATACAAGTATTCATCAGCAGTGTAGTGGATATGTAAGTAGTGGCTGATAAATTGAATACAATAGATAATGAAAATGAATAAAAGTATCCACGTGGATAAATTTTAAAGATACGTTGTTTGCAAGGGAATACATACATATTATTCCCTTTTCTGCACATTAGAAACTGGCAGAAGTACATGGTGAATTTCGGTTATCATTCAAAGAAAATAAAATACAAAAAAAAAAAAAAAGGGCATGGTTAAGTTTAGGGAGTATGATCAAGAGAAGCATAATATAAGGTGCTTCTGGGCCAGGGTATTGGTAATGTTTTTTTATTGGCCTGGGTGGATGTATTCTATAACAATAACAATAACAATAACAATAATAATAATAATAGAAATAATAACAGTAGGATCTATTATTATTATTATTATTATTATGTTTTTGTATGTTATATTTCCAAGGATAGTAAAAAAGTAAATTTATTGAAATATCTTTTAAAAAATTGAAAGGAAAACTGCCAGCTCAGCTCCCCAACTGTAGAATAGAAGCTTTAAATGTTATGGCTTATGGCAGTTTGTCAAGGATGCCCCGGAGGTGCTTTTCTTATTTAGAAAGAGAATGAGTTAAAATATATCTAGGATTTCTTCCTACTAAGAGCCTTTCATCAAGATATTATTATAACAGCTCTACAACTTATGTAAAGTAGTAGTCTGTGGGTAGTGCAAACCGTTACGCACTTCACTATCAGCCAAAAGCTTGGCAGTTTGAATCTACCTAGTGGCACCTCAAAAGATCAGTCTGATGATCTATCTGGTTCTGAAAGGTCATAGCTTTGAAAACTATATGAAGCAGTCTATTCTTCACACATGTGATCACTATGAGTCAGAATCAACTCCATGGTGACTAACAAAAGCAACTATGTATAGTATTTAGATTCAAACTGCCCCTTCTTTAAATCTGTATTTCATAATTTATTTTTTATGTTGTCTGTTTTGTCAAAATTGTCTTAGAACATTGAATAGGGGTCTTTGTGCTAACTGGTAGTGAATTATTTTTCTTCTAGATTCAAGGATCCACTTCTTTGGGAGCATCACAGATTTCACAGAAAATGTTCCCTGTCTTAGAACTTCCATCCATTATGGAAGATGGTAAAATGAAATTGTTTAGGGAAATTTCACTGTTTAGAAATTTGTTGTTAAAATAATTTTCATTTTGCGACATATTTTATTGAAATGGCCATATTAAAAAATCTAGGCACTTTGAATCAAATCAGCTTGATGACAGTGAGTTTGTTGTTGATTTTTGGAGGCAATAGCAGACATTTGTATATTTTCAAGAAAATTTTTACAACAATACAATTTGGATTTTCCTCAAAATTGCCTTTGCAATGGGATAGATTTTTTTTTGGAACACAAGGACCACTGGTAAATTAATTATCTTTGTCCTGCTCTAAGAGACTTCATGAAATTTCATAGACGTCTAATTTATAATGTATTTTAGTTATTTGGAGAATTTTGGTGTAGTAAAACATTTTCTTTTTTTTTTACTTAATGTTTTTTGTTAGTAAAGGACATTTCACACATGAAAACTTGTAAATATTTGTATATCAAATATCTTCTTTTTATTGGCCAAAATTAGTAATAAAAATAAATGTCTTTCTAAATTCTGAAGACTTAAAATTGCTAAATGTTATAAAACAGAGATTGCCATGTTGATCTAGAGGGTATTTTCCTTTGTGTGTGATGACTGGGAAGGCAAGGGAGGAGATTTTGCTTGTGAGGTCATCTGCTTTAACTTCAACTTTATGTTACTAGTGATATATTTCAAATCATTTTAGTGTCCTTTAGTAATCTCTTTCATAGCTTTCCTAAATGAGATGCTTTTCTAGTTTTTAGTCCTTTTTGCTATGTTATGTATCAAAATTTAATATCAAATTCTAGAAATGTGTTTCTAGAAACCTTGGGGCTTGCCTTCTGCTTCTAGAATTGCAGAGTTTACTACTAAGTCCTGTTATGTACTATCTAGGTAGAGTAAGCATATTGTACGTTCCTCTGAGTATCCATGTTCTATATAGATATCATTGGCCCTGTTACTTGCTGTAAAATTTTAAAAATTGGTTTATAGATAGAATACTGACTTTAAAAGATTGTGTTCATTATGCTAAAGATTACATTTTATGTTTCCATACTTTTTTTTTCTGTCATGAATAATGTTATTTGTTCAAAGAGAGTAAAATATTCTTCTCTATTTAATTCTCATCTTTCCTTTCCATTTGTTTGAAATAGACCCTTAGTGTTTAATTGTTTATCTTGGTCTTGGAAAAATTTTTGAAATTTTGTAATTAAACCAGTTATTTTGATTATTGACTTAAACATATTCTATGAAATTTAGACTCAGAGGAGGAATTTTTTGATGCACCATGTAGTCCTTTGGAAGAGCCCCTTCAACCGCTGACTGGAGTTAAATGTTTTAACCACAAAAATCTTCAAATACAGGATAGTTCCAAAAATATGACCCAGTGTAAAATAAGATTTGAAGTACCAGAGGTATGTACCATGGAATTAATGTGACATTTCAGTAGTTTGCCATTTCTACTATTGATAGACTAGTTGTATCTCATTGCTAAGAGGCACTGTTGTTTTCACTTTTACTAACCTAAATCTAGATGTTACTGTGTGCTTTCTTTCCTTTCTTGTTTTTGAAGATTAACTTTCTTATTCAAGAATTAAGTGTTTAGATCACATCGTGCATATTTAATATATATTTGTTAAAAATGATTATATAATATGTATGTTATGTGTATATGTGTGTTTGCATACAAAATCTCTTCCAAATTTTAAATTCATAATGTATGAATTTCTATCATATGTATGCCTCATATGTCCACATATGACTGCTGTCTACATAAACAACACTTTGTTTTATGTAGTGGTCATTTCTCTTTTCCTTCTTTTCTAGGTTTTGATTCAGTTTTATCACCTTGTTGGAGATTGTGAACTACCTGTGGTAGAATTTGGTATCTTAGGACTGGGGACACAAATTGAGTTTAGAACATTTGATTTGAAAGCACATGCCTTTTTGAAAGAGTTCTGCCTAAAATGCCCAGAATACTTGGGTAAGAATCTCTACTTTATTTTATTAATTTTTGGTGGCAACCAAACTTACATAATGTTCACAGTTTCTACATGTGCTATTTAATAGCAGTGGTTACACACTTCACAGTGTGGCACTGCCACCATTCTCGCTGTCTCTAGCCATTTGTTTTATCACCATTAATTTAGATTGTCTGCCCCTTAAAGTTCTCATCTGTGCTTTAGATTAACTGTGGTAACTTTGAATATTCATACAGATAATTTTTTATGAGTACAAGGCTCAAGGCCAGTAAAAATCTCTACTTTTAAAACTAAATAAATTAATTTCATTGTTTCACTACCTACTGGAAACTTTTAGATCTCTGGGTTTTGTATCAGTACATTTGCAGAAGTATTCTCAAAGAAAGATTACATTATGAGTTAGTCTTTGACTCTTATCACACAGTTGGTAATTCAGGTGAATAGACCAAAGATAAAATGAAGATGATTTTATTAGGAAAAATAAAATATTCATGGTTGAACTTTAAATCTTCTTAACTGAATACTGGAACACTAAATTAGTTTCCTAATGCTACAGTATCAGCTCACCACAAACTTAGTGGCTTAAAACAATGCAAAGTTACTATCTATAGTTCTGTAAGTTAGAAGTCTGACACAGTTCCCACTAGGCTAAAATCAAGATGTCAGCAGGGCTGTGTTCCTTTTTGGAGGCTCTAAAGGAAGGTCAATTTTCTGGCTCATTCTGGTGTTGGCAGAATTCTGTTCCATGCTGTTAAGTTTCCCTCTCTTTCTTTGCTGTTATTCAGAGATTTTCCTTAGCTTCTTGAGACATCTCTGTGGTCCTTGAGCATAATCCCTTACATCTCAGAATCAGCAACAGGGCATCGAATCCTTCTCGTGCTGCCTATCTCTGACTTTCCCTTCCGCCTTTCTTTTGTACTTTTAAGAACTCATGATTAGATTGGCCTCACCTAGATAATCCAGGAAAATATCTTTATTTCAAGATCCTTAACCTTAATCACATCTGCAGAGTCCCTTTTGCCATATAATGTAACAAATTCTCAGGTTCCCAGGGACAGGGGTGTGCACATCTTTTAGAGGGGCATTCTGCCTACCACACTTCATGTCTCTGAAATCATGATGGATAAATTACATGATCTTTAAGAATGTATTTCTGTTTATTGTGTTAGGCATCTGGGAGGATATTATTTATATTTCCCCCTTTACCTTTTTGGTCTTTCCTTGAAAGATGGTTCTGAATGATAGAGGGAATTTATTAAAACATAACAACTGTAAAATAGTTGTGATTCATAAATACTTCATGTAGCTGTTCAGTAGTTTAATTTTATTAGCTCCATTATAGCAAGACAGTATTGTATATGATTAGAAATGATGGTAAAATAAAAAAAAATAAATAAAGGTGGCACTGATTTACCTTTATTTTTGAGATCACAAAATGTGTTCTTCTTACCTGTGTATGAAAGTACTTTTTGCCATTCAAATTCCAATATTCCTTTTATGATTGACTTTCTGATGTTTAAATTTCTTTCAGGATTTAAACAGAAGCTGTCTTATGAAATATTTTAAACTCATATAGGAAATTTCCTCCAATATATTAATATATTTAAATAGGACTATACTAAAAGTGAAAATTTAAATACTAACTTCTACCTATGTGGACTTAAGGAAGGTAGAGAGTATGCTTCTATAGGGTTGCTGTGAGTCTAAAGTGACTTAATGGCAGTGGGCAGTGTTTTTGTTTTCTTTTAAATGCCCATGTACATCTTAAAGATTTAAGTCAACCTGTCTGGAAACCCATTCTCAGACAAGAAATTAGTTAGCTAGAAAAAACTTCCTTTTTCCAAGGAGCAAATTTAAGCAGTGTGGCCCAAAGTTCAATCATTAGTTCTACACTTGTGCTGTAGCCCTTGAGAACTTGAATATCATGGATTGTAGTTATGTCTGTGTGTGCTAAGGCAACTATCATATATATAGTTTGCAGAATTTTATTATGCTTTTTACATCAAGAAGTTTGCTCTGATAATAGGAAATAAAAATAAACTGACTTGACGTGTTTTCTGTTGATTCAGTGGTATTACATCGCTTTTTTACTTTCTATATTTCTTTCTTTATATTGGTTTGTTTTTCCAATAACAAATGATAGGAAAATCCTTGTACATAGCATACAGGGTATTCAGTTATTACTATATCTATTTATTTCTCTAATATTTTTGCTTCTGTTTTCTCAGAGGGAGTGAGAAGAACTGAATAGCACAGTTCTTGCACAAAACAAATGATCAGTAAATAGTTGTTGAATGAGTAAATGTGTGAGAAAAATAGGGACCTCGATATGATTTGAAATGTGCGTGGCATCAGCAGTAGAAGACTGGCATGTACTAAGCTTTTAAATTTTAGTGAACTCTAGAATTTGTTGCTATTTTCTTTTTTTGGTCAAGAAAAGTACGGCTGATATGTAGTTCTGTCATCCAGTATCTAGATACTAATTTATAGCATCCGTGAGTAATTGGGTGATCATAGTTTTAAAGCCTTTATACAAAATACTCTTTTGCAGCAGTACTCCCGCTTAGTTTTTTAGGTTGTGAGTGGAAGTAGTAATACAACCTGTGATGGCTGATTTTGTTTCAGTAGGGTTTATTGTAATCTAACCTAATATATGGAAAAACTTAACTTCTCATTAAATCCTTGATCTGTCTTCTCAATGACTGGCTTTTCAGGGACTCTACCAGTTTTCTTTCTATTTCTATAACTTACTTGTAGCCAGAATTCTCTTTATATCCTTTTGTTATTCCTAGCAATCATTCTGTTTTTCTTTAATTGTTTACCATTCTTGCGTCCTGCCTGGGTTTTGAAGGGTTGTTGTTGTTGTTATTAAGTGCCGAGTCGTTTCCGACTCATAGCGACCCCATGCACAGCAGAACGAAACACTGCCCGATCCCGCACCAGCCCCACAATCCCTGCTATACT